TGCCGAATCAAAAGCACCAACAACGGAGAAGACCTGCAAAAACTCGTTTACAGTGGCCACAAGCGCATCCATTGTCTGAATTATCAGGCCGTCACGTGCCCCGACGGAATCTGTGCGCACTTTTTCGGACCGGTGGAAGGGCGTCGGCACGACATCACGATGTTGCGGCACAGCCAACTCCTCCAATTCTTGAGTCGGCACGCGACGATCTTCGACGGCAGGTATATTTACGGGGATCCTGCATATGGTATTGCTGAATACCTCCTCTCGGGGTACAAGGGAAATGACCTTTGTGACGCAAAGCGCGAATTCAACAAGTGGATGAGCAACGTTCGGCAATCCGTCGAGTGGAATTTTAAGGTGATGAAGACGTTATGGTCCTTCATAACCTTTAAGATGCTGTCGAAGATCCGCCTCTCGCCCGTGGCCAAAATCGTCTCAGTTGCCATGCTTCTGACGAACTGCCACTGCTGCCATTTTGGGGGGAATCAAATCAGCCACTACTTCGACTTGGCACCCCCAACTCTTAAGCAGTATTTGGACACGCTAGAAGTAGTTGAAATCTAAACCAGTTCAATTTTCCATTCTAATCAAGTGCATTAAGATTTCTTAATCAACATATCTAGCAACTTGGCCATCGTTTCCTGCTGCTGACGAAACTGCTCAGCGACCAATTCTCGGTCTTTGCGGCGTTCCACGAGTTCAGCATCGAACTTTTCTTTTTGAAAATCAAGTTCAGATTGGATTTGGTCGTGCATCAATGCCATCAATTTGATGACTTTTCCGCCACCACTGGTGCCTGAATGGTCGTCGCCGTCGATCTTTCGTTTTCCCATGGACCGCATTGCATCGTCGCGGACCACAACCCCCAGTCGATCATCATGGTCTTGCGACTTTTTCGATTCCTCGAGGCGTCGAATTTCGTCCTCCTTGGCATCGTCGCACGCGCACATGAGGTCGTCTAACAGCTGAGTCTTTTCTGTGACTTCCTCAGACACACCAGACGCTTGCTCC